AGTTATATAAATGAAGCTATAAATAAATATATATACATATATATATATATATATATATATATATATATATATATATATATATATATATATATATATAGATAGATATAGATATATAGATATATAGATATAGATAAAGATATATATATATATATATATATATATATATATATATATATATATATATATATATATATATATATATATATATATATATATTTATATGTATGTATATATATATATGTATATGCATATATATATACATATACATATATATATTATATATACATATACATATATATATATATATATATATATATATATATATATATATATATATATATATATATATTTATATATATGTGTGTGTGTGTGTGTGTGTGTGTGTGTATATGTATATATATATATATATATATATATATATATATATATATATATAGAGAGAGAGAGAGAGAGAGAGAGAGAGAGAGAGAGAGAGAGAGAGAGAGAGAGAGAGAGAGAGAGAGAGAGAGACAGACAGACAGACAGATAAATAAATATAAAGATACCGCCACATAGATTGGAAGACAGAGATATATGTATATCTATAAATAGAATTTGGATTTATATTTTGTTAAAATATAGATTAATAAGCCAAAATGATTAACATTTTCACTGTCTATAACTAACTCAAAAAAACTAAATAATGTGTGTATATATATGGTGCAAGAAACTTTAATATCCATCTGTAGAAAAACCAAACATTTATGTCCAGTAGAAAATGAAATAGCTGTTTGAGCTTTTCATTATTATATGTGTAAAGTTATCTTTGGTTCATTCACTTTACCAGTAACAACCTTGACAATTCTTAAGATGCATAAAACTGTATCTTTAACAAAGCTTGTTTTTCTTCCATACAGATTGCAGATTATTTTCTACTGTAGCACTGTTTTAAATATCTGTTGATTGATTCATGTAATCACATATGCAGTACATATAATTTTAATTTCATTATCTTAGCATATTTCATCATCCAAGTCAAACTTACAAAATAGATTTCACTCACTTCTATTCCATAAAAATAAACAAATGGCTCTTATAGTAATAATCTACTGATACTCATATCACCAGGAGAGGAAAACGAAAATAAAGTATTGTCAAAAATTTAATGATTTCAAGATGTAGTATTCAATATATTTCTCATGTACATAAATGTGCTTCTTCTCTCTATCATTCTCTCATATACAGGTAACTGTCTTGTTTTAAGCAGTTAGGAGAAATTGTGCCCCCACTTTATCTACCGAGATATGAATGAAATCAGCATAAAATATTCTAAGCTGGAGGGGGGGGACACCACTATTTTGGCCACTCTTCATTGTGGTCTATCATAGTAGGGTACAAATCCCTTCATTAATCTCTATTTTCCATTGCTCATTGCAAGAATACATGTGAACTTGCTAGGCATTAGATATCATACAGTACCAATATTATCTAAATGATTGTGACATTCAATTTCCTATTAGACGAGAAGGCATAAACTACAAGAAAAAGGCATTGCTGGACGGCTGTATTGCTAAAAATGTTGAGTATAAGGCATATAAAGATTTTCATATTGATGTCCATTACTCAAAAAGTTTGAAGACCTCAAATCATCATAAATAGTTATTTACATTTGCAATATACTTAGCCTGAGTTTTTGCCATTCTTTTAAAACCATTTAAAATAAACCACTCATCACACATTCTGATTAATGACAGCTTACAGAATATAGGTACTGCATTGTGCAGAAGGAATGTGTTCAATAGTTTGATATGCAAAGCAAGTCAAGACTCTCAACTCTTAAGAGCAACTTCATCATAATCCTGTATAATCAGGATAAAGACAATAAAACAAAAAAGTTGGATTGTTTCCTTTGATTAAGTACTACTTCCTTGATTATATATCTTGTAAAGAAATAATATTCTCCTTTTTCAACATAGATAATAAAATATTTACCATTAGATGATGTTTATATATGTCAATTATGATTTAAACAAACATCTTAAAGGCAATCTTCATCCAGGAAAAAAAACACTTTATAGGTACAGGAAATGTCAGTTAAGGAAGAATATTCAATATTCTTGCACTCCATATGAACAAATGCAATACTCCAGTAAATAACATTTCTACAGAATAGACTTCACATTCTCCTAACTTCAAAATCACATCATCTCACAAAAATATAAGTACACAAAATAACAGCACTACAGTCCCATTAGACATTCTCATTGCTGTCCTTTATAGACCCACATAATTCATATATCAGAGGATCTAAATAACAGCTGACCACACACTTTTCTGCTTTGCCTCATTAACACTGGAGAACAGATTTCATTAAAACAAGACAAAGTGGGGACACTCTGATTTTCCTGAAAAATTAAGCAATCCCCAGATAACATTATTTTAAAACTAGAACAGTAACTAAGTGTTAAAGTGTTGTACATACAAAACTAATCTAAATAATGTGATTGTTTTCTCAGAAGATAGCACCTCTTTGACTAGGGATGTTACATACAGCAGGTAATGATATACCTATTACTTCCTGCAAACTGAAATGCATCATGACTAGGAACAAAAAGATGTGTTGCTATGCAACTAAATCCATATTTAATAAAAGTAATGTGGCTTGATTTACACTCTGGTGTATATACAATGCTCTACAATAAAGCATTTCTTAAAATGATAACTTCAAATTTTGTAAAATCTGAAAATAGCCATGACTACAATCAAAATAATAATAACATAGTTATGCTGACATTTACTTCAAATGCTTCTTTTTAAAGAACTTAAATCCAATGAAAAATAAATAAATCTGTACTGATCAATTGCAAAAATAAGAAATTCTATCAAGGACCAAAGGAAAGTACAATATGATCTGTAGATTACATGAAAATAATGATATATAAAGAGTATATTTCTAGAGATACATGATGATATAATCTTGATTGGGTTCTCTTAATCTAGCATTGATTCTACTGCCACACTGTTCCATCTGGTATTGAATTCATATTTCATATTGTAATCCAGCTAATTTCTCAGACAATCACACAAACAAAGAGAGGAAATTAAATTTGCACCAAGAGAAAGTGAAGATGTTCCTGACTATATTCTTCTCGTCGTTACCAGCAATGAAGAGCTTTCCATTTTCTTCTTGGAGGAAATCACAGGCAATTAGCAAATAGTAATTGGACTGATTTTTAGAGTGAGTTATAACCATTGCAAAATTCTGATTCCACTTCCAAGTCACCACAGAATATTGCATAAACTATTACTAATGCATAAATCACTACACATTAAAAAAAAAGGAATATTAACTCTTTTATATTTAGTGACCACATTAAAATTGTGCAAAAGATGATCAAGGCATCTAGAATTTCGGACTTGTCCATTATATCTAAACTCTTGCCGAAAGCCGAGCAAGAAGATACATAAACCAACAACAAAATCATGCTGGATATTGATAGCTTTGACACGTTTCACAAGTTACCATGCCTTAGAAAAATATGACACAGACACACCCATACTCATAGACATTCACGACGCAAGCAGACTTTCAAGCCTCCGTCTCAAATTAAAACAGGAATAAAATCAAGTATTCAACGCTGTTCTGTCAACCATCCCGAGTACTTGAGATTCAGGACACGCATTCTTCTCGGAGACTTTCTTGCAGTTAATATGACATTTATAAAATACCTTTCACAACATTTAACAAACATTCTTATCACACTGGAGTTGTGGTAAAAACATCAATGAACTGGTAGAAGGTATGCACAGTATTGGCTTTACCGCATATATAAAAAGCATTTCTTGAATCCATTTATGAATATATGAAATCAAACTAAACAAATAAAGTGAAAGTAAAAGGTTTATATTTCAATAAATGAATACCATAGAGTCCTCAACATATAGATAGATAGATAGATAGATAGATAGATAGATAGATAGATAGATAAGATATATAGATAGATAGATAGATAGATAGATAGATAGATAGATAGATAGATAGATAGATAGATATGTGTGTGTGAGTGTGTGAGTGTGCGTGTGTGCGTGTGTGCATGTGTGCGTATGTGCGTGTGTGCGTCTGTGTGTGTGCGTGTGTGCGTGTGTGCGTGTGTGCGTGTGTGTGTGTATGCGTGTATGCATATATGTATATGTATATGTATATGTTTATGTTTATGTTTATGTTTATGTTTGTTTATGTTTATGTTTATATGTTTATATCTATATGTATATGTGTATGTATATGTGTATGTGTATGTGTGTGTATATGTATATGTATATGTATACGTATATATACATATACATATACATATACATATACATATATATATATATATCTATATATATATATATATATATACATATATATATATATTTTTTGCAATATAATATGAAAGTAGGTTTGCAATCAGAAATATCAAGAACTAAGTAACAGGACTAACCTCAGTAAAGACAAAACAGAAATCCAAACATTAATTCATGCATAAAAAAAAACATATTAGGATTCAGTACTGCCTCTTGGTGAGAGGTGGCAGCCTCACATTATAGCGGTTTCGAGGAGGATAGAGGCCAGCTCCCTGCGGTGTGGTTATCATCTCACGACTGACGGAAGACCTCATGTCACTGCCATTCGATACTGAGATGAGGGAGAGGTCGTCACGGGAGTTTCCGGGCAACCCTGTGCGCATAGGGTGGCCGCTGCTGTCCTGAGCTGTCTGAGGGGCTTGACACATTGGTGCTGTGCCTGCGATTGCGCTTGTTCCCTGCCCTTCCGTAGGAGTCTCCCGAGGGTGCTTTGGGGTCCCGAGACCAGGCATCACCCGCAGTGCTGGCCCCAGAGGAAGGCCCAGGCCCAGAGAGAGCCACTTCGGCATCACCTCCTTTCCTCACCTCCTTGTTTGAGCCTGCTGATGATGGGGCGTCGTTCCATGCATTTGCTGGGGAATTTATATCATCAGACCGTGCATACCTACTCCAGTTGGCGCGCTGCTAGTCCTGTAGCTTTATTCTCTCTAAGCTATGTCTACTCTCATTCACATTCTTTTCTTCTGCATTGGCAATGTGTGCAGCTGACATTGCTGAGCTGCAAGAACTTGGAGACTGAGTTTGGGCATGCATCTCTCGTGCCACGGAGTACACGTAAGTGATGTCTGGACGTTTATCCGGTTCTGGGTTTATGCAGTTGTCTACCAATGTTCTAAGCTGCAAATCAAAAAGGCAAATATATTTACAAGTTATCAAAATGGCAAAAGAAATTAAATTTTTCAACGATATATTGTTCCATGAACTCTGGTCGCTAGACAATAGCTCATCTAAGGATTGTTGAGTTGGATTCATATCTCATTAAAAAATATACTAATGCACAGATCAAATTCAATTTTGCTTGAAATACACCAATTTTTGGATGAGTAAAGGCCTTATTTTACCTAACTTTTGGCCCAGAATTAAGGGAATGGATTATAGTAAAAACAATTAAAGCATTCTATTCAATCAAAGTAATATCACTTATTAAGAAATACTTAAGAAACTCTTTAAGATATAAAGCATTGAAGTACTATTTTTCTAGACATAAAATATCCTTTCCTGAAAGTTATATCATTATCTTTTTAGCATATTGTGACTCATCATACTCATTATACTCCATAGCTGGAGTATATATAGATATCATTATACATGTCAAATTCACAGCAGCAAAGTAGCAAAGGCTGGTATTACACCCTCTAAAATGGTGTTGGCAGATGAGTCAACATGTCATACATTGTTTCATTCTGTTTTGGAAGCATGATGTGCAAGAGACAGTTCGTAGGACTGAATTCAACTGCGAAGTCCCTGAACATCCTATCACAGACCTTTTTCGGTATTACAAAGGCTGCACCCAGCGACTTTACCTACTAATTATCTTACACTAATACTATCTAAAAAAGCTACATACCTCTGATGAATAATGATCAGCTGGGAGTGGTGGATAATCACAGGACTCAATTTTCTTACAAAGTGAGTAGAGGTTCATTTTATCTCCATAAAATGGACTCTGCAAGGCTGCCATCTGTTGGAAGAAAAATTGGTATTGCAATGACACTGGGGGGAGGAGAGGGAGGGAAGGAGGGAGGGAGAGGGAGAGGGAGAGGGAGAGGAAGAGGGAGAGGGGAGAGGGAGAGGGAGAGGGAGAGGGAGAGGGAGAGGGAGAGGGAGAGGGGAGGGAGAGGGAGAGGGGAGGGAGAGGGAGAGGGGAGGGAGAGGGGGGAGGGAGAGGGGGGGGAGAGGGGGGGGAGGGAGAGGGGGGGAGGGAGAGGGGGGGAGGGAGAGGGGGGAGGGAGAGGGGGGAGGGAGGGAGGGGGAGAGAGGGAGAGAGAGGGAGAGAGAGAGAGAGAGAGAGAGAGAGAGAGAGAGAGAGAGAGAGAGAGAGAGAGAGAGAGAGAGAGAGAGAGAAAGAGAGAGAGAGAGAGAGAGAGAGAGAGAGAGAGAGAGAGAGAGAGAGAGAGAGAGAGAGAGAGAGAGAGAGAGAGAGAGAGGGAGGGAGAGGGAGAGGGAGAGGGAGAGGGAGAGGGAGAGAGAGAGGGAGGGAGGGAGGGAGGGAGGGAGGGAGGGAGGGAGGGAGGGAGGGAGGGAGGGAGGGAGGGAGGGAGGGAGGGAGGGAGGGAGAGAGAGAGAGAGAGAGAGGGAGAGAGAGGGAGAGAGAGGGAGAGAGAGGCAGAGAGAGGCAGAGAGAGGCAGAGAGAGGCAGAGAGAGGCAGAGAGAGGCAGAGAGAGGCAGAGAGAGAGGGAGAGAGAGGGAGAGAGAGGGAGAGAGAGGGAGAGAGAGGGAGAGAGAGGGAGAGATCTGGAAATATCTTTTGTCTAATAAATATATTCAAAACCCAAGACATATAAGTTCCTTCATCCCATTTTAAAAATGTTATGAATGATGCATAAACGAGATTACATATAAGGGACATGTGATTGCTCAAAATCCATCTTTACAACAATACAAGAATTGTCAGTTTTTTTATCAGTGCTTTTTTTGCAACACATATGCTTAAGACCATAATTGCTATCTTTTCTAAAATTAAAATGAAACACACCCTATATATACTGTCTAAAATATGACCACATCTCTCACCATCAACGCATTTCTATTTGCTTAACTCCAGTGTTTCAAGAGTTCAACAGATATTTTAGATATTTTGCTGGTTGGCTGGTAAAATTTTGATGTTTCAAGCTTGAATTCAGACCAGCACAGCTGTGCTTTGATCTTCAAGTTGGGAGGTAATGTTGCAGTCTCCAAGTCATTCTTGTTATTCATAAATCATCTTTTGGAGAAATGTTTATTGAATGACTTGGTTGTTCCTGAATAAACTTCATAGCATATTTTAAACTAGTATGTTACCTTGTTGGTGTCCAATTCTGTCTAAACTATCATGACTTGTGGCAAGTCTAAGGTGATTCATTAACTTGTCCAAAAGTACTCTATTGTTCAAGGAAATTTTCCATTACATCACCTAACTGTCAAGGTTGTAGCGGGTACAGCAAAGTCATACCAGTAATACCAGCTTTCTAAATAGAGAAGGGATCACACTTTGATTGCAATAGCACCACTCATTAACCCAAAGTCTTTGGGGAAATGCTGTGTTTATCATAGTATTGTTTTGTGAAATGTCTCTGCACATAGATGGCTCTGCATGTGCTTAGCCACAAAGGAGTCAATTGGTGGACCTTGTGACCTCACCTGATTTCATCTTTCCTGGAATTTGCAGCAAAAGACTTTCTTTACTAATGTCATCAATATCAATGTTGTTCTTTTTATTACAGACATTATAATTATTATAGTGTTATTGACATTACTGACAGCAATATTAGATGCCAAAAAATATTTCTGAAAATCAAGGAAAAGGGTAAACAGGTGAGACAGATAGTCTTATAATTGGCCCATTGGTGATTTAGTGCATGCGGAGCCATCTACATGTAAAAACAATTAATATATTAAACCCTCAGTGGGTATGGCATGTACATACATGCCATCTGGCATGTACATACATGCCATCTCTGGCAGCTTTGGATTAAATAAAGGGACATTTTTATTTTTTTTATATCACTTCACAACACAGTGAGCCACTTCTCTAATATCCCATCTGCATGCTTTTTGCTAATCAAAATCCTCTTCTTCACCTTTCTGTTTTATAAGGAGATTCTTTTTAGCATGCCTCATGCACAATATGATGAAGCACCTCAGTCTGTTAATGAGAATTTTGTTCTTCAAGCTGATTGACAGCCAACAAAATTGGATTTATCTTCTGCCTCTTCATAAGGTTCCTCATTCTTTCAGATTTTCTTTGGCCTCTCACTCAGTTCACAGGGATGAGGTAAAATTTTTGTCATAATTAGCCTTACACTTGTAATTCAGCTCTTGAACTGTGACTTCCATTCCCTTCAAAGAAACTACTTCTATGTTATTTTGCCTGACATAAGTTCTCATGGCTGAGGTTAAAAAGAGACCTGAGAGTAAAGGATGGTATTATAATCATTGCACATTGGTGGCAAGTCTCACAATTTGTGGTATTTACTTTTGAACTAGGTGAGGAGCCTCGTGCTGCCGTATTTTTGCTTACAGGGCAAGTATGGGAAAGTTTTTCTTTTTGCAAAAAATCCCTAAAGGTCTCCACACCTAATGAATTCATTTTATTTCTAGATTAATCTAATCATTTTCAAATTTCTGACTTAAAATTCCTTTTGAAATTAAATAAATACAATTCTATTCGCGATAGCAATAGACAAGTTACCTTAAATATTTATCTTTTACTTATAACTGCAAACACTAATCATTTCTATAAAAGTTACAAAAATAAATAAATAAATAAATAAAATCACCAATTTTACTTTATTATACAAATTTTTAAAAATAATTTTCAAAAGCTAAAATCTGATCCAGAAGAAAACCTCTCAGTAGCATAATTACCTCATACAGCAGACATCCAAGAGACCAAATATCACTCTTAAAGTTGTAGCCATGCTCATGAATTCTCTCTGGGCTCATGTAGTATGGAGTGCCAACGAGAGAGTGTGCTGCCGTGGTCTTTGAGCTAAAGAATCTGCCAAGCCCTAGATCTCCCAACTTCACTATGCCTTGTGCTGTGATGAAGACGTTAGCTGGCTTGATATCTGCAAAAATATGGACACTATTAATCAGCTTTCATCTTTATTTTCTTTCAAGCATAACCAGGGGGGACTAAAATGCTGAAGAGGTCAAGGAAAATGTAAAATGTACTCATTTTTAACTTCAGTTTCTTAGTACTTGAACACAAGAATCTACTGAACTTCAAAAATATTAGTTACCAATGAATAATCAATATGGGGGATTATGTCTTACAATTCATAATAAACCTACATGAATGAGGCTTATCATTACAGTAAGGATATTCTTCTTCTTCAATCTTTATCAGTTATCATCACATTAATAAACTCACTGCTCTAGTTCTTAATAAAATCTTGTTGTTTAGCCCTTCATACAGGATCTTATACTGTTCCTAAGATGATAATATTCTGAGACATACAAGCTTACCGACTTTGTCCCAAATATTAATGAGTAAATTTCTTATGAGCAAATAGTTACTTCCTGCATAAAATTCACTATGTCTAACCATTTACATTGTAGTTCTTATCCATTTATCAGATCTATAGGTATTTTATAAGGAAATTCCTGACATTCTCTACATTTCTAAAATTTTTGGGTTTACAAAAAATACAAAGGATACTTTGAAATCTAAAAATATATTATTTTTATTATATATTATTTATATATATTATCTATTATCTATTTCAGTTTAAAATTTGTAGAATGCATCTAGATACAATTATTTTTGGAGGAAATGATGACAACAAAATATGTTACCACATTTTCTTTTTTCTTTTTGTTTACAAATTAACCTTTAAGGTCCATTGCTAATATATATGTGTTGGTAACTGATTAGCAAGGTTCGCTGAAATTTTGGTCAATATTCATCATTAGACAGTGTATGTCAAATATCATAATAGATAATGTTTGAAAAAACGACTGACAATAAATGTTAGTTAAAAAGAGGGTGTCTTGACAAATAATCAGTGCAATAATAACAAAAAATATAATTACCCCTATGCATTATCCTCTTTGAGTGCATGTGATCAAGGGCAGAACACAATTGCACAAAGTATTTCCATATTGTCCTCTCTGGTATCAAACGCTGCTGCTTACGGAAGTGCCGAATCATGCGAGATAGATCTCCAGCATCAGCCAACTCAAACACGATGTTGAGTTCATTGTCTTCAATGAAGGATGCAAGATAGTGGATGATGTTGGGATGATTCAGTTTCTGCAAAAGAATATATGTGTATAAATATACGATTTGCATAATCTCATAGGCTTTTGTAACAGCTGTAAATGCAAATAACTATATGTATTATAACATTCTGCTGAAGACACACTGACCCTGTGTTTAAGGGTAGATAGCATATCTCATAACACATCCTTAACATAATCTTATTATAACTAATCATAGATGTTTGCAAATGTTTGGAAAAAAAGGAAGTCTATCACAGTAAATGGATACTTCCAAAAGAATGGTTAAGAAATAGGATGGCCAATTAACACAGGAGCTCTCTATCATGACAGCCACCAGTCACTGTTTTTTAGAATGTCATCACAATTAATGAAAGAAAAGTGTTAGTTAGTTAGTTAGCAGTATTCCATTGTCTTTATAACATACATTCATATTCTAAGATGTATGTATATGCCAACAAAACCAAGTCTAGTCCTATGACATGATGTGTCATGGGTCTGCATCCAGCTTGTTTCTAATTTAATGAAAGCTACCTAGTTTTGAGAGAACACAGTTTTGTTACCAGTGACATCTTTAAATGCAATCAACTGATCTCAATAAAGCCTTGATACCAGGAAACATGTATAAAAACATGCAAGGATAATAAGTGTTAATAACATTGCTCTCTTACAAAAGCCGGAAACACTGAATAATAGCTACATAATCTAAAAATCTACATATTTAGTTTTATCTTCTGTCTACATCCAACCAAGCCCACAGAACATGCAACTCACTATAAAGTAACATGATATGCAATCAGTGGTCACATGCTATACTGAAACAGATGTCAACAGGTACTATTTCCTAAGCATGAATCAAAAATTATTTTCAATTTTTAGCCCTACATCATAACTAGTGTAATATTTCATTCACACCTAGGTAAGGACAACTGACATTACAATATGTCTTGCATTTTTATTTGCATGTTTACATATCTGAGTAGGGAAATGAGTTACCATATAGCCTTATCCCTTCTGAGAACCAAAACAGTGCCCCTGTTGACTGTAGTTAGTAAAATAAGAATCTTGGACCTTAATCTATAACAAAAGTATAATATATTTTAATCTGTGAAAATTATGTCAGGTATTCTGAACTGAAAAAGCATTTCAATATTATCACTGCAACAGTTAGGTAAACCTATGACACAAAATACCAGCTGGATTAGGATGGGTTTGGCTTGCAAGTATATGATGTTAAAATCCAAAGACATTTTGTATCTCATACAAAAACTGCCACATCTCAAATGGGTGTAAATGAGTACTGGACTGTTTAACATTCTGCACTCTTCAATACTAGAGGTAAAACTAACAATGGAACTGCGCTGCAATTCATTGTAACAAATTTCATGTAGTTATAACATCAACACTTATGATGCTATTGTTATTTCATGAAGGTACATCCATTCTTAGAAGCATGAGGAATCATTTCCCATTTAACATCAGAAAATACTTGTCAATCTGCCATAAAATAGCTTAAAAGTATCCTTCAGTAAAACTTAAACTCTGAGATTTTCCTCAATAAAGTTTAAGAACTTGCAAGAACTTGAGCAATTTCCACACTTTACATAAAGCCATAGATTTTATATAACCTATAATATTAAATATCACAATGTACTGATCTTAATGCATCTTACAATCCTTTTGTGAAATTTAGTGCCATTTATTTAATCATAATTTACATGATGCTGCTTCAAAATAAGATGAGCATAATGCAAAAGCAATACAGATAATGACATTGCACTCTTCTAAATCTTCAGTGCACGTTTATTTATAAAGGTGCAAGGCATGAAATACACACAAATGTAAAAATATGAGGATAATTTCATATGGGTGTTACCCCAATTTTCAAAACCTAATTCTGTTTAACAAAGAGACTGCAATCATAAATCAAGGGACAACATAATACTGTTTAGCTAAAAAAAAATTGTAGTTAGTAGTTAGCAAACATCTGCATAACTAAAGGACTTTCCTCCCATAATAATGTAGCTTGCACATGCACACACTATATTTCCATCACACACCACTAAACTATCCTTACCAATATGATTTGTGCAGGGGTTGCTAATTTACATTGTTCAGACAGGATTTCCCCAGGCCATACAGGGCCATGTGACAGGGGGTGTACACAGTCAGCTGCTTGAGTGAGAAATTAGAAGTGCAGGAAACATACATTTACCTCACTTTCAAGATATGTAAGTTAAGACTAGCTTTAAGCCTACTTTTGTGAGGTAGTTTCTCCTACTCAGTGACTATAGCCAAGGGCAAACAAGCAAACAATTGTCTGGCACACACAACTAAGGCAGGCTAAAGTACATGGCATGATTAGATATCATTTGACATAATTGGAATATTTACTATAACATGATAGGAAATCACATGGCATAAGTGGGTTAAGTATACCAAGTATTTGCATAGCCATTCTTTGGTAAAGGATATTGTGCTCTAATAAATGTATACTACAATATCTTTGAGTATATGGCTGAAAGTCTGAAAAAATACATCATTTGCTGGTCAACTGAGAAGTTCTAACACAGTCATGCAAGAACAGACTAGTGTTCCTGCCTAGCAAATGACAACACTTGTCATATCATTTCACTTTTGTCCAACTAGTTCTATGATTACTCGGAAGCACAATATATACAGGAAGATTCACTTCTTGTGATTCTCATGCAATAGTGCTGCACAGTTTGTGACCCTAATTTTTTTCTAACCATAACAAGAAATATTATGTAAGATTAAACTTAAAGAAGCTCAAAAATTGAATTCTTACAAAATTTCCTCATCAGCATATATACATATCAACCCTTAATAAGACATCGGCATATACAGGTGTCACAATGCTAATAATTTCAAGTGAAAGTCTGTCCATCCACAGGGGAGGCTGTACAGAGAAATTTTCTACCTTGTGATTCAATCATTTTTAGAATATTTTTATCAGGCAAAAACTCCAACAGCCTCCAAAATTAATGTTACTCACCTGTAATAGATTAATTTCTTTCATGCAATCTAATCTTGCTTTTGAATCCATCATCTCGAAGATCTGGACTTTTTTCAAAGCTACCACAGCCTGGTCGATCTTGCATCTTGCTCGGTGGACTACACTGAACTGGCCCTTTCCTATCTTCTTCTCAAACTCGAAATTAGCAAGCGTGCCATAGATGGATTCACTTGAAGAGAGCTTGATCAGCTCAGAGGCATTGTCATCCATCATGTATGGTTAAAAACCATACATACACGTTCCTGAAAAAAAAAAAACGTTCATTAATGAAAAAGATAAATCAAATATACAAATACTAGATTAGCTGTTCTGCTTTTTATCAGAAATACATAATTAATTTTACTGTCCTTCTGTGTCTCACCCTCACAAACCAGTATGTATTTGGAGGATGTAAAGAGTGAGATATTTCTTTTAATTCATTTAAAAAATGCAGATCTGATTAGTTACTGTGTATATAAACATTACTGTTAAAGCAGATAAAAAAAAAACATTTTACAACTATTAGTAGTACTAATTATCTTATATTAAAGGTCAATAAGGTCAATGACAAAAATAAGACTGTCAATAAGGATAATGAAAGTACAGGAAATAAACACTTTTTCCAGGAAATTCATGGAACAGGGTAAATACCCAAGGCCAAGTAGGCTTAGCAACCGAGTCCATGGTGCCTAAGCATGAAATGAAATGGGGAATAAACACAGAGCAATAAGTTACTGTATGTGGTTACACCGATGTAGATAAAGTGACTGACATGCAAACTAGCATTCAGCTCTTAAACCAATGCCTTATGTCGGGTATTGCCAAATTCAGTCAGCTGCCCAAGATTTTGTCCGTTGCTTAAATATTTGTACTAGGGAGGTACATAAAACCAAGGTACAGGTGTATTTCCTTCATTATTGTTGTTATCCCTTACTTGTGCTGATAAATCCATATATCAGTGAAGATAGTTTTTTTGGTTTTTTTTGTCTTTCTTTTTGGGCTCTCTAACACTAATGTCAAATAACTTGGTTCTATTTTGTTTATGATGGATGTACATAGAAGGTAAGTTTCTCGGTTTTATTTGCTCTGTTGTTTGAAAATATTTTCCCTATAAAAGATGGCTGGTTTCTTCCTGCTTTATGACAGTCCCTACACTTTTCCCATCTTAGTGCAGTCACTATGTAAATATATACCAATATTAACAATAATATCACTATGCAATAACTATTACAAAAAATGAAGTTACAATAGATGCAAATGCAATATATTTTAATGCCAAATAATTATAAGAATAAAAAACCTTATTTGAAGATGCCGCCTAGCTAAAAATATATAAAACAATAATAATAATACGGTAAGATAAAATACTGTGACAGTAACATACCCTTGTTATGTATTCTCTCTCAATCAGCAAGACTCGCACGGCCTCACGTACCCACCAAGGTATTATCAAGCTCACCCATTAAACAGACACGAAATACAATCTAATTTCGCCATCAACCTAAGCCGTAATAGCGGAAACCCGAGTCCCAACCTCCACTGAATGAAACCCATTCGCCCCGACGACCCCTTCGGCAGCCACTGTGTCCATGCCCCCTGAAAGTGGTCCATGACAATGCCTGATATTTTTTGAAGCGAAAGACGAAACGGGCTATGTAAGCCATAGAGACGTCAGCCATAGAGAGACGAAACGGATTTTATAAGCCTGTGTAGAAGGAATGTCTTACTGGGAGCTACATATAAGGGCGACGGGATCATTATACCTGCAATGCCCCGGTGGATCGCCACTGCTGACACCTTAATTGTAATAAAAGTCTGTTATTCCATGTGATAGTCCCGAGGCTGCCATGCGTTCCGGGATTTTGTGTATAATCAGTTTGTGAAATGGTGACACGAAGTCTTATCAACTGTGAATTATTGATAAGCGAAGTAGAGAAACGGCCAGCCCTGTATAACTGAAAGAGTACAACGATAAGAATTTAAAGGAGAAATTGTGGACTGAAGTGTGTGAGGCGCTTGTTCGTGGCTGGCATGACCTTTCATCGAGGGGGAAGAATGACACAGGTATGGAGAAAGTAAGACAAAGTAAACACGCCAGTAAATTGCTGAGTATATATTATGAATTAAAAGGATGCACTAAATTCCGAGAATTAGACCATGAATGAACCGATTCAGCGTGACGTCACCCAAGGCGAAACCACTATAATCCGGAATAAAAAAAAAAAAAAAATCTGTGCGTCTCCTATACTAATGAACTGAGTATGGTTTAACGGGTTTCGATAACTACTGTTTAAATGCAATAATCATTAATCGTCCTAATCGTATATACAATGCTTGCAATGCTACCGTTCCCTAGAACAGCACTGCCAGACGTATCTGACTCCGGGTCGCAAGAGGTTCTCAGGGAAGGGGAGAATCTTTTGACAAAAACTGTAATGAAAAGGACAATGTCATTGAAAATGACGATTTGTAAGAGTATCAAAGATAAAGATGATGGTGATAATAATAGTGACGTATTAACGAATCTAAAAGTAATAACCATCATCGCGATAAGTGCACTAATTGTATGTGTTTTTTTATACAGGGCTGGATTCAAAGGGGGCGTGAGGGGCATACACTTATTTTGGCAGAACAATGATTTTTTACGCCTACTCCTGGCAGCGGAATATATATACATGTGTATATATATTCTGTATATACATATGTATGTATGTATATATATGTATGTATACATATATCTATAATATATATATATATATATATTATATATATATATATATATATATATATATATATATATATATATATATATACACATATTGGGCTTTGCGACATTGGTGCTCACTCTTCCATTCTTCCACAAGGGCCTACGCCCCCCCTTTCTTATAATTCGGTATGAAGTATACTATGGAAATTTCTGGGTAACCCAAACGCTAAGAGCAAGCGAATAATGACATTTGGTAGGAGAGTTATATCGAGGTTCTACCAGAAACTTCGGCATTCGGACAGGGGAAAGAAAACTACCAACTCCATTCTAGCCAGATGGTGCTCGGCGTCGTATCTTATTTGATGGTTAATTGCTAAGAAGATTTCTAAACTCTAAACTTGTCACCCTGTATGTGGTCTATATGTTGCGTTTGTATACGTGTCTGCGGACTAAAATGCATTATTCGGAGTGTAAATATTAAATGCATTTCCACCAATAAGAAATCCGTTAGTATTGGTGATGCGCTCTTCTCCGTAAAGTTAGAAAGTAAAGTAGAGTTTCGTACTGAATACAGCGGCGAAGCACGCGAGAATGCCAATGCTTTTACCTCGTCCTGCGATTGCATTTTACGTGATATCGCACAGAATCAGTCATCAGAGAATGCTTTTACAGGCATTCAGTCAAGAAAAAATACAAATCAAATTACCTGTAAAAATATCTAGTCCGAGAAAAAAATGCAATATATAAGTAAGTAGTTCGTTTCTCCAATTCACCCTCATGCGTAAAAGATGAGTTTAACATTGAACATTCATACAGCTTCCTAGGATTTCTTTCGTCCTAAGTAATGTAATATGGAACAAACCTTTACTGTACCATTGTAGAGTTAAGCTTTGGCACTTGATTATCTTTAGAAAAATCCCCACAACTTGGAACAGTTTAGCACGACTGCATTCGACTTCTTCTTATTCAAATTTCGCTCTTAACTGTCAAACTCATATCATGTTAAGAGTCTCAGTGCAGTTTCTGACAAACCAGCAATTCTATTCCCTACGGCAGTAAAAGGGATGGAGCTTAATTCTTCACTGTTATGCGGTGTATTGCAATTAGGCAACTGCAGATGATCACGGACCAACTTTTGCTCTAAGTCTGAATATTCAAATATATTAACATCACTTGACTTTACAAGAGCGCTAACATCCACAACAATGAGAGAATACTACCCACTACCTACAACTGAAAAAAATGCATAATTTAAGAAACTTGAATCACCATTATCAGAATTTTATAAGCGAACTTGCTTTCCATTTAGTCTTCCAATAAAGTGAAGGAACTATGCATTTTCATGTTTTTTTCAACGTTGATCAAGTTCTCTTCATCCAACTCTGGTATATATATTTGGTGGTAGTTTTCTTCGAGACTGTATCACAAGTGTCCCACATCAGCCTGTGAATTGTAGATTCAGCAAGGTGTTCAGAAAGCAAAAATATTGCAAGATATATGTAAGAGAAATTATATACCTTGTACATGTACCATACGTCTCGCACATACTTTCACCTCTAATGACTAGTATTGAGGCACAAAAACAGCAAGGAAGACAGAGAGAAAGGATGTATGAAGAGAGAGATGAAGCTAGGAAGTAAGAGGTAGGGTGGAAAAAAACGGCAATTAAATGGCTGCGGGCGGAGAAGAGATAAGGGATCTTGCCAGCATTATCAGCCTCTTGTGGATGTGTTTTTTTATTGTTAAATCTGTTATATTTCCCCCATGTCATATCCAACACTCACACTTGCCTCACTTGGTTCTCTAAGAACATATGCACGACTCAATTGTCATCTCAAACAAGATAAAATGTATTAATTCCATCTATTTCTGTTTTCAGGAAAAATAGTACAAAGAAGATGGAAATCCCTGAAAGAATGTTTCAGGCGAGAAACACAACTGCGGAAAGGCAAAGCTGGAGATAGTGGATGCAAAAAGAGGAAATATATTTACTTTGACCAGCTTTTACTTTTGACAAGCATTCCGCGACGACGACAAACCCCAGAAGACTTTTTCGGCATCAAGAAGTGATGAAGACGAGGAAACTGAAGGGAATGCTACAAACTCAGAGGCTCCCACCAGGCTCCCAATGGAAAATAAGACCATTGTTGACAAGAGTCACGAGGAAGAATTGCTCGGTTTATTGAAAAATAAGGCATTCCAGGAAATTGATGCCGATCAGTTATTTTTTGCATTGTTAGTGCCAGAGTTCAAGAAAACCAAAGATGATCAAAAGATTGATGTAAAAATAGAATTGCTGCAGGTAATTAGGCGAGCACAGCAGTTGTCAAAGGAAAAGTAATCAGAGTATGGTAGTGCTGTGCCTTTCACTAAAATAAGTTGAACTGCGGCATTATTGTTATGTACTCTACAGTATACAGACAGTGCGACCTCTTTCTATCTAAGTTTCTTTTCATACGGCAGGTCATCAATCTCACCTAGTTTCATTACTGTACATGAGGTTCAATTAAAACCCTGCCTTTTCCCATCCTAGAGTTGTGCCTCTTCGTCTAATCT